AAATGATCTTCAGATGTGGAAGATGTTGCCCCTTTAACAGGCTAAAATGTGTGCTTTCATCTTCCAAACCCTATTGCATCTTTCTTCCCAAGTAGCTGGTTTCACAATAATGAGAAACACTTTTAGATCATCTTAAATGTCCCATTAAGGGAAAGTTATCAAAGAAGCCTTCTGTTTCTTATGTGCTCTTTAGGTTTAAATCTCTTTGTTAACTAAAGCATTTGAGATTTGCACTCTCAGTGTATGTATCTTAGTTTATAAAAAAGCATTTTCATCTAGTTTTCACTTTTGCAGCAAATAATCAGTAACTTTTTGGACTGGCTAATGAGCATTAGTCACCATTACTGTTTAGAAGGAAAATTGTTATTATAGTGTTAGCGATTACAGTTTTTTAACAAGAGAATTTACAAGCTGACTCTTGTTCTTCAAGAGGTTTTGAACAAAACTGTTTTAAAGGTTCTTAATTAAACATGTTTTCTTAAATTTGAATCACTCTTGACAACTGAAATTCCTATGGTTCAGTGCAAAGCAGACTAGAAAACTGAAAAGGAAGGTTCATCATTCATAAATTCAATATATGTAAAGGGCTGGGTGAGTAGAAGGAAACTATGTGGAACTAAAACCACTTTTCAAATGATAAAAATAGATTTTGTTTACTAGAGTAACCAACAAGATCAGAACTGTCAGTTTTATAGTAAGGGATGATATTGTCACTACAGAGAGGTATCTGTGTTTACTATCTGTTTGTTTGTTTTGCCTATAGAGATTTTTAATTTGGTTTTAGATTAACTTCCAGGACAACTGCGAGACTAGCAACGCTATGCCGAACTGACATTTGAAAAGTATGAAATATCTCTATTATTTTGAAGTTTCCATGGAACTAAAGGGGAGCCCTATCCCCACAAATACCGATGCATACTTAGTTCATCATCAAATCAGCTAAAGGTGGACTTTCAAAGCTTCTTGATTTTGGATATAGTTTCTTAAGCTCTGAAAGTTAACTACTCAGTCTATAAGTCTTGTGAAAAATCTTACTAGTCCCAGTGGAACTATATGCATGTTAATATTTTGATAAGTTGGTGCCTCTTGAAAAGGTGCTAAAACATGAGCTGCTCTGAGAATTCTCTTCCTGGCATGTATTTTACTGTGTCTCACTATCACGTGGTTAAGGTGTGTAGTATGTAGCACATATTTACAGGTAGGTGGTGAGCACAGGGATAAACCCCAGAGACCTGTTCCTCTGGTTGTTTTTAGTAATGTAAAATGTGACACTGACCTGAATAATTCAGCTTTCATCTGGTGGCACACAAATGTATTAGTTCATTATTCATTTATCAAGTCTGTTTTTCTGTGGTGTTCATTACTACGGTGATTTTGGGGCTGCCAGTTCCCACAGAGAAAGCTGCAGCTACTGGGTTTATCAGAGTCCTGCTATAGAGAAGCACCTGCAATTTTTGATGGATCTGGATAACAGAGGCCAGAGTGTGGACTGGCCTGGGTTAGTCTACCAGAGAGCTCTGCTAGAATACAGGTATTGGAGATGCATGGATCGAGAACTAGCCCCAGAACAGATCTGCCTAGCAGACATACAGGCGCTGGGGCCGGGAATTGTGCTGGATGGGATCAGTTCTTGTGTGCATGGTTTCTAAGGCAGTCCGCTATTATCTGGCATTAGGTTTGGCAATGGAATGTGAGATCAGATGTTTCATTAAAAATTTTCACATATGATGAAGCAACTTCTTATGTTTTCCTCTGGTAAATCTCAAATTATTGCTTAGTGACACATCTGCAGAACCCACATATCAAGATATCACTAGGGTACTGGAATTGGTGGGTGACTTCAGCACAGACTTTCTGTATGGTATGATAGCACTGGCAGGTGATCAGAGCTCATGTGTCCTGTCTTCAAGATATGTTCTCTTTTACACTTTGAGCTGACTACAAGTTCATTGCATGGCTTAGGAGTCCAGAAAAATGCAAGAATCATAAATTGTCTCAGGTGCCATAGTAAATATTTTCAAGTCTTGCTATTCTTTCAAAATTATTTCCATTCTGAAAGAGGTTTCAGTATCTATTTCTTCCAGTAATTTTCATCTATTTTCCTGGTGGAAATAAGGCTTAGACAGTCACTTTTATCTATACCTGTTTGTGTGCTGCATGTTTCATGATAACATCTGAACAGTTTTTCTGATTCAACAGGACCTCGCAGTTATTTTTGAGACTGACTAAAGCTTTATGAAACTTGGAGCCAGATAATGGGAAAAGAGAGATAAAGCCTGCAGTGCAAGCCTTTGTATTGTTAGACAAAAAAAAAAAAAAAAAAAAAAAAAGTGGGAGCGATGCCACTGAAAAAGTTCTGTTTATGGTTTTGATCAACTCTAAATCCAGAAGAAGTAAGACTTCATTAATACCAGTTCTCACAGAAGTGTTGCTTTTCAAAGCAAACTGAGTCCACATTTAAGTTTGTGGTTTCCTCTACAGAGTTCATCTTTAGTATTAAGCTTCCTTAAATTTTGTTCTGTATTACCGAGAAAATTTTCATGTAAACTGCATCTATACTGAATTTTAAAATAGGCAAGTGTTGAGGTGTCATGGTTTAAGCCCAGCCAGAAACTAAGCACCACGCAGCCACTTGCTCACTCTTCCCCTCCCGGTGGGACGGGGAGAAAAATTGGAAAAAAAAAGTAAAACCTCATGGGTTGAGATGAGGACAGTTTAATAGGATAACACAAGGAGAGAAGAAATAACAGTAATACTCATTAAAAAATGTATAAAGCAAGTGATGCCCAGTGCAATTGCTCACTACCCAGAACCCTATGCTCAGCCCATTCCCGAGCTGTGATGCCTCCTCCCCCTGCCAGCTCCCCCAGTTATATACTGAGTATGACATCATATGGTATCAAATATCCCTTTGGCTAGTTTGGGTCAGCTGTCCTGGCTGTGTGCCCTCCCAGCTTCTTGTGAAAATGAAGTCTATCCCAGCCAAACCCAGGACAAGGGGAAATACAGCATTTAAAGTCAACTCTTTATTCAGCTTGCCTACTATGTATTTACATTATTCTGTTTCATGTTACATGGTTTACATCACAGGAAAATGTGACTTTTTGGGGGGAAAGTAAAATCTATCTATACTGAGTGAGCTAATGTATAGTTTAACTGCCTTTCAAGTCCTACTAAGATTTCAAAAGATAATATAGGTAGAACGTGACAGTTATTGGTGATAAGGGTCTTTTATAAACCCCTTTGGAGAAACATACATATAAACCCATTAGGCTAGTTCATAAATACTTTGCAAAATATAGGGAGCCACATAATCAACGCAAAGGAAGTATAGATATAACCTCAAATAATTTTTGGTGTCAAAAGATACACACAAAATATTTTTATGTATGAAAATACTTATTAGACAAAATAACTTGAAGCAGTAGAATAATTGGCATGTATTCAAATTGTGGTTAATTGAATTCTTCATCTGTGGCTTAGAAAGCCACATGGGGTACAGATTCTGCATAGAGGAAGCAATTTTCATTAACAGGATATAATTTAGAATGAGAAAACATATACACTCTGCCTGAAACACAGTTAATAATTAATATGGAATAAATACACAGGCATATACTGAGTTACCATATTTCTACCTGTCACTCTGTAGAGTTTCAGAAACTCATTTGCATCCTAAGTAAGTATATTTATTCAGAGAGATGACACTGTAACACTACCTTCAAAAGTGGAAGACCTTTATGTCACAGCATCAAAAATGAGTCATCCTTGTTATTAAAATGGTAAAGTGAGATCAGAATGGTGATTTGATCTCATGCCTACTTATATCTAAGAAGTTTGCTTGCTTGTGAACTGACACTGAACCATTAAAAAGCTGATAACCAGTTCTCGAACTGATCATTATTTCTGAGGCTGATCAGTTTTTCTCAACTAGAATAGAGAAAATTAATACCCCCTAAGAAAGAATATTTTTTCTATTTTGTATTCTAATGATCTATAACATTTATTATTTGTTCTCTCACATGCTGCTAATATTGAGATGTGGGTGCATGCAGAAAGCAATTTATTTGAAGGATAAAGTAAAAAAGGATAACTTGCAGGATGTATGAGAGAAAGTACAAGAGACCAGTGAAGGGAATGGATGATTGAAAGTCAATGGCTTTCAAATATTGAACGTCTCTGTCAACAGCTTGCTGCATTACTTTAAGCAAGCTGGGTTGCATATAATCTTGAAAAAACAGTGCTATTTTGGCTAAGAAATTCTGTAAATCAGGATCTCAAAGCATGCTTCTGTTAGTACAAAACCTAATCTTGGCCTTAGCTCAGAAAAGGTATAAACAGATTTTTAAATCCAGCTCATTTTGGGACAGTGCTTTGACATGCGTGCAAATTATGGCTACAATAAAACTGAAAATTATTCCTTAAATATTCTCTTGAATCAAGGCTCAAAACTCCAACTCTGTTGCGAGGATTTCTCAGTATTCCAGCTGAACCCTGAAGCAGAAAGGCAGCAATAACTTAATGCTATTGAAAGTGTGCTATGTGCTGGTTCTTAGCCTTCACTGTAAGCTCTGCCTGAGCTGGAATATGGCTACAGGATTGCTTCCTGAGGGTGGGCAGCTCCGGGCTGAATTCTTTGTAGGAATCCAGGGTTTCTGGTTGGTTGTTTTTTATAAATTTTTGTCTTCCTCTTTCTACCAATTTGGCCACTGAACAATCTGCTGCATAGATCTCTATATGACAGACTTTTATGCATGAGTATAGAAGCATGAAAAAAAGAAGTGTTATTTTTCTTGTCTGAACTTCAGTTAGCAGCCATATGTAAGATAAAGACCCCTGAGATATCGCAAAGATGGGAATAGACTGTTCAACTACAAGAATGCTTTCTAATTTTATTGTTTGCCTCACTTCTGCCATAATGATTTTATAAACTGCAGTGCTCTTTAATATTACTGAATTGTAGGGCTATATTTCATATTTCCTTTTCTTTTTAATAACAGGTGGTAACAATATTGGCAAACATGTCTGTCTTGGACCAGTGTGCTTCAGAAATCATTCAAGGAAATGGTATGTATTTTAGCTGAATTATATTCTGTATTTGTTTGTGGAGAACGTGGGTAGATGGGAATGTAGTGGCTTCAAGGTAAAGGATAAAGGCTTCACTAATAATAGTTCATTTTCATCCTGTCTCTGCCGAATACTGTACATTGCTGTAGAGTGCAAAATGAGTGCTTGGGGTGGTTCTATGTAACTGAAATAAATTACCACTGCTTTAGAAAACTTTGCATGTATGACAATATTGCTAATGTTCTGTGTGTTTGTGACTGATTCATAGATACAAGGTAAGGTAGTACAAAGTTTCAACAACCTTTACTCTGGTAATTGTATAACGTGGCAATTCCTACACATTGAAATTCATCATATGATACTGAGCCATGCATACCTGCAATTTGTGTCACTTTTTTCACAGGTATTCAGAAGTATTATAAATTTTGAAGTATTATGTTTTTGTTACTATACAGCAGTTGCCATTTATTTTCACACTCCTATAAATATCTTATTTTGAGAAATTCATTATATTGAAAAAATCCTAGGTGTTATAGGCCCACCAGAAGTCTGAAAAGTAAGGTTAATAATTCTATGGATAAGGATATAGGAAGAAGTAACAGCCTTATTAACATACTTACCAGCGAAGCGAATTCATGGCCAACAATATAGTAAGACAGGTGTTTTGGTTTGGTTTATTTTGTTTGGGTTTTAGGGGGGAGATATTAAATTACAATGAAGCTTCACATATATTGCTTTTTCTGTCCTAGGGATATCCCTTCCAAATTTTTTAAATTAAGGTTTGGATAGGAATGGTTTGAGTTTGGATCCATCATTTGAATCTCAGAAATGGCTGACTGTAGGTGAGAGAAGGGGTTTCAGAAAACATCTACATAGAAGTGAAATAGAATTGTCCAATTCCTATGTAATATTAGATTTAGATGTTCCTTGCATTTCAGTGGAAAATTTGAGCTCTGTGCACACAAATATGGCTGGCAAGGATCTGGCACAGATGATTTGCTTGATGTGATCCTTGTGGGCACAGAGCTAGTGTGCATTTAATGTCCTTGTTAAGGTGGATAGGTGCTGTTGTTTGAGACCAAATGACACTGTAGAGGTTGAATGGATCTGGATACTGAGGCAATTTGACCACAGATATATACAACCTTACAAATTACCCGAGATCCCTGTTCTATGCAGAAGACAGTGCAGTCATGGGGAGGAGCAAGGCGAGTTAACATGGTGGTTTCTTAGGACCTCCTTGTTGCAGTGGAGGGATGGGCCAGTCCCAGAGAGAGGTTAGTCAGGTCCACGTGGTGGTTTCTGCCACGCTCCTGGTCCAAGTTCCCTGTGTTCCTAGAGGTTGGAGAGGTGGTCCCGGGCCTCTTGGTGCAGGCGCATGGGGCTTCCCTACCCAGAGTTTTTCTAGAAACTCTTGGTAAGACCCTCACATTTCCCAGGACCCTTGGTGTCTGTAATTATATGATTGGGTAGAGAATGCCCTGTCAGCAATTGGTCCGTTTGACTTGTGCTGTTGTTTTCTGTTTTGCTGTTGTTAGCACAACAATATTGTTGTTAGCAATACAGATATGCCCTGGAAGCTTTTGCACTCCTTTATGATTAACAGATTGGCTATCTATTTCCTTGAGCGCACCAAAACCTGTTTTGTTGCTCAGGACAGGTGTTTGATCATATTTCATCTACTTTGACTACAGCAGAAACTTGATTGAAGTTCATGAAAGTATACTAACAGCTCTGCCAACTAGGCCTAACTCAAGCTAGATACTACAGTAGGTGGAGATGCACATGTGGATTGTCAAGCACAATGTGGTGAAGTAAAGTTTGTGTATACGCTCTGTAATGGAAGCTCACACAGAAGCATTTGCCCCCTGAGGAGGGGCTTCTGAGGAGGGTTGACACTCATCTTAACTATAAAGGCTTTTTGTGTCTGTCTAATGTTGTAATCAGATGCTGGTCAGAAGCCAGATTCACAAACTGAGAAGGGTCTTTGAATCCTGGAGACTTCAGATATGTTTTCTTCTCAACTTTGACTTTTTTGTGTGTCGATTGATTATTATCTAGCTGCATGATTCTGATGCTAATTCTCTTAATTATTTATGCAAATGTTCTAACAGTTAAAATCCTCTGGTGCTATCTGGAGTAATCTGAATGCCAAGTAGCATATGGAGTCTAATAGCACATAATTGTCCTTACATTTAAAATAACCTAGAAAATAGAAATCAGTACAGTCTCATCTGGTTTTGTGCTGCCACAATAAGGATATCAACTCCTACAGGTAACAATAAGTTAATGAAACCATTTCAACATGGATGACATTGTTTCTTCTGAATTGAAGAGTTAGTGACACAGTAAACTACAAGAGGCAGAATTTCATCATTTCCCTCATTAAAGGATTCACCATTTTAAAATACCCTTAAATAGTGAGATTGAAAGTTTTAAAGACTTGCTTAAAAATACATCAACTGAAAAAAAAAAGCTTTACTTTCTTGTAATTCAAAGCAAAACTTCATGTAGAGACCTGAAGTATGTCACTACAGGTTTTTAGGTTAGTGATTACCAGGTTAGTTTATAAGCAAATAAAGAACTGCATTTAGTTTGACTAAATAAATTCATGGGATCTAAAATACCAACTTGTAGAGGAGTCAAGAAGTTGGAGGAAGGGAGAGTTAGTGCACTTTGTAGTTACAGAAGTTCTGTAGCTTCCTAGTGAAGACAGCATGCACAGATCAGATGTGCCTGAATGCTGATGACCAGACTGCAGTCCACGTTTATGCATTCTTCATGCCCTGTATGGGCAGTGATTGGTCTGTATTTACCTATCTTGCTTTTCCCCTTTACTTTTTTGGATGGAGCTTTTTGTTGGAGAGAGGATAACAATGGCTCTTATATCCTTCCAGGTGTTCAACTTTTAATGGAAATGCTCTTTGAAAGACCAACTTCAGGAAGTTCAGCAGAAGTTGCTGCTTGTGAGCGAGTCCAACAGAAATCTGCAGTTACACTGGCACGACTCAGCCGAGATCCTGAAGTGGCAGATGCAGCCATAAAACTCAGTTGTAAGGATGTATCACTAGCTTAATGGCTGACTGAAAAAGAGGGAGGAACTGCAGTCATGGAGCAGCTCTTTTTAATTTTTAGCCTTACTTGGTACACTTTATGGACTAGGTTCCCTATACAGTCTGTCCAGAGAGTGACTGAGGATCTTGTACTAAATGAACCTCTGGCTCATTTCCCAGAGGAACCTGAGGTGCAGCGTCCACTCAACACATAGCTGTGGCAGACTGTGCCAACTGACAGTGCAGCCTCCTCCATTCCTTTATTTAAACCGTCCTGCAGGATCTGTCAGCGGACAGAAAAGTTGAACCCCTGCAGGTTTGGATCTGATGAATCTAACAGAAAACTAACATGTTCTTCTGGCTGGAGTTTTTTAAGGGCATGTGGGGGGATTCATAGGGAAGAAATGGAGGTCGCAATTTCCACTCTGAAACAGCAATAGTGGGTAAAAACAGTGCATTTGTTTGTTTATGCTTTAGAACTATTAATTATGACTGCTCTGAACTGCATAGCTCCATGGACAGTCCCTTAAGTATTTGCGTGTCATCTTTGCATTAGAGGTCATATATAAGGAAGATAAATATGAAACATATGAAAAATACCTCATCTCAAAATAAGGAGTTTGTTTTTCTAAATTATTTCTCCTGATATTCTTTTGTGCACTCAGGTATTCCTCGCCTAATTAAACTTTGCAGATCACCAACTGAAAGATATAACAGTGATTCTGTTTTAGTGGCATGTCTGGTAGGTATATTTTAATCTTTCTTTCACGCTTATCCTGAAAAATGCAGAATAAACATTCCTTTAGATTTCAAAATTCATAAGTATTGCAGGAATGTTTTAAATTCATGCCAGGGTGTCCTGCTTTTCCCCTTAAGCATAATCCTGTACAATGTCAATTATTTATCCTCTGATTGAAGATTTAAACACATAAGAAAAAATTACTTCTTCACATTATTGAGCACTAAAAAGTTTGACTGGAATTCAAGGTTTCAGTAATTCTTAAATTCCATTCTCTGATGATGCTATGTTTGCTGAAATGAGCCTTGAATCACAGGGTTAGCCACCCTTTATCTGCACACACACATATGTAGGGAAATTTTTATGTAAAGTGGCGAAAGAGAGGAAAAGAGATTTCTTGCTTTCACTACAATCCACAATTTTCTGTTTGAGTCTCCAAGACAATGTAGTGTCCAGCCAAGGACAACAGTGGTCAACAGAACCCTTTCTCTGCTTAGGAGAAAGATCCCAGCTGCAGGCCCTGCACTGCATGGACTGTGAGCCCCAGCCAACTCTCTGACTTGCGTGATTTCACCTGGCATTCTGTGAGAGTAAAGTGCTCCGGGGACATGGGTGATCTAGGCTTAGGAGATAGGTTTTGATGAGTGAAGACTGAAGAATATTGTTTGACAGTGATTTTTAGTATTAATGTTATTTTAAATGTAAAACTTGGTTATTGCAGCTTTGATTAACAGCTAGCTTTGTGCCAGAACATGAGAAGTTTTGTTCGTTTAAGCAGGACTCATTCAGAATTAAGTGAGTATGAATGTGAGCATAAGAAATAATGTGACTAATCCTCACACGTGCCAAGGTGGCTTGTTAATCTTGTATGGCAAGAGTGATGACAGCAAACCACACTGTGATTTTTCTGTTTCACTGAAGTTGCTGCTGAATATTCCTTGAATTCATGCCTATCGCTCGAGATGTTACCTGCCTGTCTCAGCAATTCTGCTTCTCCTGATATTTTAGTAACTGCCTGATGACATTTTCTGATAAACATGTGGTTCAAAAATATTGTCATGAGACATAAGCTGCTTCAGGCTCCGATAGGTATTGTCACTAAAGTCTGAGGGCTTGTACTGTTTGGTATTTTTAGCTTGGTTGTTTACTTTTTGTATATTTTGATGCAGGTGATTAAGTCTTGTGTTAGTGCTACATTGACAGATAGCACAGAGATAAGCTGATCACAACTATCAGACCTTACCAGTAGAAGGCAATTTTTGTTCTTGAGGAAAGCGAGCCTGCTTTCTAATTGTATCTGTCATGTCAGGCTGCTGGAAGATATGTAATTGTATATTTTTCTCCAGTGAGAGAGACAAGCAACTTCTTAGAAGAGTTTATGAAGATAATAGTAACATCAATGCAATTTGTATTGTGCAGCTTCATAATTGGAACAACTGGCAGTTTTATTTGTTCCCAAATGGTTTGAACTGTATGGCCTCTTTCTACTACACTAGTATCTAAAAGATTTCTGTTATGGGCATTGCAAAGAACTTCAGTAGCAGACATTTTCTGAATCAGATGACTTCTAGTTCTCACAAATAAGACAAAATCTGTGAGGAGAGTTGAGATACAAAGAGGCAGTGTGAGATCTACTGCAGGTCAGAGATAGGTTTACAATCAAAGTGCTCTGACTTTCACCTCTGTGTTCTTTAACACCGCGCTGCTCAGTCCCTGCTGCTCAGGTATAAGGGTCATGTGACCCAAAAGAATTGTCATTTAATAGCTGCATTTGAGGGGAGATTCTTCTGACACATGAAGACAGCAATGAGAGATTAGCCAGGTAGAAGAGTCCATAGGCCTGCACAGTTCAGTTTTGAGCCTTGGCTATCATGTAGAGATAGTTATAATGGATTCCTTCAATGAAGACTTTGTCAAACCTTAACAATATTACAATTGTGTTGTTTTGTTTTTCTAGGCAGCCTTACGGAGACTAGCAGTTATGAGTCCTGATGGACTTGAAGATTTAGATTTTCAGCAGCTAGTAAAGCCCAGACTTGTGGATTCCTTTCTGCTATGCACAAATATGGAAGAGAGCTTTGTATAAATGTGAGCCAAAAACCTTTGAAAAATAATCATGATGATAGGCATACAGTAAGATAATACATATACAATTTTGTTTAGTTTTAGTCTTATTGTTATTTATGACTTATTTATTTTAAAACCATGAACACGTGTTTTGTAGAAGCAATGAAACAGAACAAGTAAACTTGTGTCAATGGTTTGCAAAGGTAATTTTTGATTTTATATTCCTGCCAAGGCACATCAAGAGACCTTATCCCTTCAATCTAACAAAATGTTGTTGTCTTGTTTAGTATAGTTGAATCAAGGTAACGAAGCCAAGAATTTGGTGCTCTGATGATAAATGCTTCTAATAATGTTTTATCACTGATATTTTTCTACAGTTAGAACATTTTTCAGTTTTTAAAATGTTTTAGTTTCGTGCATTTGCTGCAAGAGAAGAAAAATAAACCTTAAAGCTACAAGTATATACTTTGAAATGAAAGGGATGTTACAGTCTGAGTCCAGTCTTAACTGTTATTTTTTAATAGAATTATGAAAATATGTAACTGTGAATAGCTGAGAAAATTTTTCAGAAAATTGTCGAATACTGTCTTGGAATGATTTTAGAGGACATTTTTATGCTGTATAAAGATGTGCTCATTAGAAGATACATACTTGCAGATAACTCTTTTATTTATGTTTACTAAAATTTCCTAAAGAAATTGAGAGAATTCTAGAAAAATCTTTATAGAATCAAACACACATCATCAGTCTTAAGGTATCCACATAAGATTTAAAATCATTACCACTGATAATTTTCTCTCCTTTCTAAGCCTTACAAGTGGAAGTGAGCATGTCCAGGCATGTTTTTAATATTCAAGCTAATACTTTTGTGAAAAGCTGTGCATGCATACACTAAATAATCAGAAAAGATAAATTATTTGTAACTTGAATTTCCATTTTTCTGTTTTTCTCTACTAGTTCTGTATTTCTAAAACTGTGAAATGAGATTTTCAGGAGCTCTTGGAGTTGACAAAAGGAGGTTTTACCAGTGGATAACAACACAAAGAATAGAGTTTATTTTAAAATAGGTTTTTTTCTTTTTTTTTCTTTTTTTTTTCATGAACAGTCCTCTTAAAATTTGCCCTTTTATTTTCATCAAGAAACCATATAGATTTAAAATTACTCAACCAGCAATATTCTGAGAGTGTTCCCCCCACCAAGCTTCTCACAAAGCACTCTGTAGATTATGAAAGTATACGTATTTTTTTCTTGATGGCTTGCAACTATTGCTCTGGATAATTTTATGATCAGTAACTTTAGGGTACTAGGACATCTTCCAAAAAAGTAAGTACATTTCTTCTTTACTGTACTTGCTTTGTAGATATGTTAAGCAGCTTAATTCGTTAATGTTTATTTAGTATTATGTGGTGTTTAGATGAAAGGCATCAGGAAATTGCTAAGCTGTGATAGCCTTCTGCATTTTCTGTGTCTGAGAAATCTGGCCTGCTTCAAGCAGAGATACATGGTGGCTACTTTTTTCTCCCCTCGAGTGTGTGGGTTAAGAGGTCTCTGCCTTAACATTTCTTCCTTGTGATGTCTTCGTTTAACTATGAGCTCTATCCTGACTGAAGTTTTAAAACATTAGAAGACATACAATGACCTCTGTCATAAGAAACTACTCAGAGATAAGCGTTGAATCAGATGTTTCACAGATGTAATTTTCTAGTAAGAGCAAAGATGGATTCTGCTTTGTTTGCTTACTTTGAGACAGCTCCTTAAAATTCTGAGATTGTTAAGATGTATGGTACTATACAGCTTTAAAAATGTTATACAAGTGATGGACTTTAACACTTTCCTCACTAAGCAGAAATACATGTATTGAACCATGGATGGTTTAAATGGTAAAAACAACATTCTTGGTATAAACAATGAACTCATAAATCTTGTAAAGAACAAACTCAGTAAGGTCCCATTGCTATCATGCAGGTAGCGTGATAATCCCTAATAGAATACAACACATCAAGTTCTGTTGTGAATGTGCTGTACCGAATCTCATTCTGTCAGCTGCAACTAATACCTGAGATATGAGTTTGTATATGGGGTAAGATTTTTTCCGTAACAGGTAACATTAAAATCTCATTTAAAAAAAAATGTCCACACATGTAAAGTGAACTGAAGTAGCTATTAAGAAAATGCCATTATGACCCATAATGTTTTAAAGCCATTTCTAACAGGTCAATCAAATATTCAGTAAGCAGGCCAGTAGCAATGAATGAGTTTAATTGGCTCTCAGATACAATAATGTGAATCCACATCAGTTGTTTTTTACTACTCAACCTGTAAATATGTGGCCATAATTCTAGGCCTATATTGTCCATTTACATGTGTTCATATTATGAATGTGGCTGTTTACATTACAGAAACAAAATACATTTAGGTGGATCTCATATTTGTGGTAGAAAAATATATCTTGAAAGAGCCAGTTTAGACCTGTTATCACCTAAGTGTCATCGAAACCATTTTTTGCTAGGTCTGAATTTTTCACCTAAAGTTGTGCACTTTATTTTTGTATATGCTAAAGTTTATGAGAAGATAAACATACCTCTTCCTTTCGTCATTATTATTTTCTCATTATTTCTGAATGAATTCTGGTTTAAAAATGTTTGCTTTGGAAGTGACTTTTCAGTTTTTAAACAACAACAACAAATGAACAGTTTAAGCCAGAATAAACGTGTTTGATTTCAGCATAGTATGAAACAAAATACTTCATATCAAAAAGTTTTCACTGAAACATGTGTTTTGGTAGATCAATCTTTGACCTCCCTGTGTGTATACATATACAGTTAGTAGAGTGAGGCAGGGAGTATGTGTAATACATTTACATATCAATACATATATGTGGACTCATTGACCTATAGAGACTGCATGTAGGTTAGATATTAGCTTAATCATTTTGGAAACTGTTATTGTCAGAAATGTTGTAATTTCATTATTTTTTCTGAACATTTTAGATTTTGTATGAGATAAGAAATGTTAGATAAACTTGCAGTGAACTGCAGGATTCTTTGTAACTTTGATTTATGTTCCAATGACTTTGGACAATGTGTTCAAATTTCAGATTTAGTTTGAACTGTTTACAGATATTGGTGGCCCAGATGTTTCATTCATAGAATAAAATTTTTTTCTCAGTTTATTGTGTGTTTGGCACATGAATCATTTATGTGGAATGTTACTTGTCTGACCTGTTCTGTTTAAAATAATACTGTATCTGCAAGAGGTAAGATAATGTCTTGGTAAACTGGATGTCTTACCTATCTTTTAGGGTTGCCTGTTAGCATCCAAAAGATGGGACTTGATCTGAAGGGTGTCATGTTGCTTTAGTACAAGACTGATTCTGGTACCTCATATGGCTTGTTCCAAATGTGTATGTTGACCATCTGCTTTTAAATAACACCAATGAACGGTCAAAATAACGTTGGCTTTTGTATTTTGAGAAATCTGCTTTTATTTTCAGTTTACATTTATATTAAATTTAATATATTTAAAGTAACACTTCAGACACTGTAAATTATTCACTAGTGTTCTCATTTTTAAGGGAAGGAAGGGAAGATGGCATTGAGCATTGAAAGACAGGCCTAGAGTGAATTTGTTCATTTGAGTTGGAAGTGCTTAGCTGGTGGGGAGGTGGGTGAATGGCTTCAGTCCTTGGCAGGCTCAAGAACTAGGAACAAGGAAAGCACAGTGAAATCTATTTTAGATATTTATATGCTTTGCAGAAATTCTTATTTCTACTTTCTATTTTTCTCTTGGGTCTGAGTTTCTCTTTCTCTACCTGTGACGATTTTCTTCCTCTTGAGAGTGTTATTTCTATACTTGCTAGTTATCTGAATAGAAGAGAGTTAAATTCGAAGGTCTGGTCCTGCTAATTAATATATTAATAAGGTTTTTGCTGAGTAACTAAGTAACAAAAATAGCTTGTTAAATAAATCTACACTAGATCACCTAGAACAAAAAGAAATGTTTATTGTTCCTGCAACAGGGGGAAGAACCAGCACATTCTCCAGAAAATTTGAGAGAAAGCATATGTATAATAGACTGCTTCCAAGTATTGGTATTTTTACAAGCGCACTTGCTAACTAAGAGTTTATGAATTGATCAGTCCTCCTGCCAAATAATCACTGAATCAAAGTAATAAAGGAAAACCACTAGACCTACAGACAAAACACTGGTAAACCAAAGATTTTTCTCCTTCATTTTCAACAGCCAATCAGTAATATTTTGTTTTAATAAACCAAGTGTGCCTGGAACCTAATGGATCCTATGAGAAACCAGTGCAAAAAAAAAAAAAAAAAAGTGTAGTATGTAATACTGCTAATTTGCTTTAGAGAGAAATTAAAAGGGATCAAAAGGCTTAATTGGCATGAAGAAGGAGTTGTGTCTAATGCTGTACCTTTTCCATCACTGTTGTGATCACCTGGGTCACAAATGTCTAACTGAAAGGTACACTGGTTCTACAAGCTTTCTGGATATTACCACTGTCTTTTAACTAGCTTTTGTCCATGTCCTACGCAACCTTTAGAATGTGACCTAATAATGTAGACATCTTCAAAGTAACTTACTGATTTCAGTGTATATAAAAATTCAGTCTAAATTTTTTTTTGTACCACATAATGTAAAAATCTTCTTTTTGAGTAGTTCTGGAAGGATATACCTAACAAGATACGTCCATTATGTATGCTCATCAGGTAAGACAAAGTTTATGATGAATTGAGAGGATCTATCTAAAAAGACCAAGAAACAGCCATGTGTGTTTTCACTTGCATCAAAAGAATAATGGAATGGGCCCTAATCACCTAGGAAAGCCTTCTTTGAAGCTGTGGTAGGTAAGTCAGAGTGCCTGCACTGCTGTAAAGAACAGTCAGAGCTAACACCCGGGTTTCAAGTTTCTTGCTCAAATTAGAACTGTAGAAATCTAACATATAAAATAAAATAAACATAAATAAAATCTCACAATATGAAGCTAAGGATAAACGACTTGTAAAGTTTTGCAATAAACAAATGTTTAAGGAGTACGCTTTTTATGTTAAGCAACGTGCTTGTTTACACATGCTTGCTTCCACTTCCAAAGGAAGCTACAATGCTCTCTGCCATGGCTATTTATTCTTGTACTGCTTAATTATTAAAAAGGCCATACTTCTTTTTCAGAGCAGCAATTATTTCTAAAGTTTAGGGGTGGATAAACAAGAAAGTGATTGAATACTGTGAAGCACAGCTAATCATTTACATGAGTGTCTCATCTTTAAAAGGACACAAACTTTCTGGAATGAGACAGACTAGTTACTGGTTTAGAGTATCTGGAGTAAAAGACATCTATCATGTGCTTACTCTAGGGTAGAATTCTCATCTGTTTTGAAGTTCAATTCTGTAGGTATAGTCCAGACCAGTAACTTAGGTACTTTCTGTAGACCACAGAAAGCAGTGGGCAATTCTTTCTCTTTGAGGATAGCTGCCCAAGACAGAGTGTATACATAATACCATGGAGCTGCCTTTTTTATTTCTAGTGGGTATGGAAAAAAGTGCTGATGATTTGTTTGGAGGAGATGTCTAAACACCTCGACATCTTAGTTCAGATCATGTGAGATAAATTCCAGACCCAGTCTGGAGACGAAAGGAAGACACTTTTTCAGCTGGGGTTTTATGTGCTGTTTATGTGCTAAGTACAATTCCCATCAAACCAGAAATTTTTGTAATACTGGACTCTCCCTTGGAAATTACTGAGACATTATTTTCTTGTTTGGTATGCACTAGATGATGACTCCTGTTTGTCAGTGTTGTAAAACAAGGAATAGCTGGACCAACTCATCCAGCTGAGAATATTATACCGGATTATACATTTCTTATTAGAGAAAAATCTCTTGCATTTAAAAAGAGGGAGACAGAAAACAGGTCACAGGACACTAACTTGAAATGGTCTCCAAAGTGAGCTGTCCTGGACAACATGTGAAATACCACTGAGATAATAAATAGCATGAAATATGTCCGGAAAGCTACTGCTCATCAGAAAACAAACAAACATCCCCTCAAATCCAACATCCCTTCTTCCAAAAAGTAATAAGATGAGCTTTAAGGGGAAAAAATTTCTCTTACATTTCCAACTTTGTTTTAGAATGGTCTTCTACTGTTATTATTTTGTCTTTACCTGTCAGGTTTCTTCTTTGGCTTAACTTTTATTAAAGATCTCATGACAACTACTGTTACATTAATAAAAATTTTTCCTTGAACTCAAAATGTTTAGCTCTGTATGTGGTATTAGATAAATAAGAAATGAAAAAATGAAAAATGGATACTGAACAGATACAAAGCTGAGACTTTAAAAACTTGAAAAGATTTCTTTTTAGAAATGCATTCCTAAATAAAAACATATTAAAATAGGGCTTTAATTAAACAGCTTCTTAAGAAGATAACTGAAAAACTGTGTGAGGATGTTCCTCTTAGAAGTCAAGAAAAGCTGTTTTATGATTATAGACAAATCTTAAAAACTCAAGTGAACTTCAGAAATGTTGTGTTTATGAGTTTTCCACTTAGCTGTTTGAGAAAATCAGGTGAGGCTTTTATACATTTTATACATTAATATCACAAGATAAACACAGGTACATCTTAAACCCAATATCCACTAATGTGTCATTTCACAGATACCATCACTTTACAGTAGGCCAGAGATACAGAAGCTCTTGGATATGCATTTGCTGGACTGCAATAAATTTCTTTACCCCTTTTTGCCCCCCCTGATTAGGGGAAAGAATAGAGGCAACAGCATTTCAACAGCTGTAGAGGACTTTGTCAACATTTGTATTCTGAATGTTTGGCCAGACAGCTGCCAGGCTTGGACCACAGGCAACAGTAAGGAAGAACCCGTCGTTACAATGCAGAGTCTGGGACCTAGCAGCTTCACAGGTAACACCCTGATTAATGAGGACTATTTCCATGTGGTTCAGGCCATCCTATTGGGAGCCATGATGGCATGTTAGAAACATAAATGGAATTTAATTACTATGAAGGTTATTGCTGAATCCTTGCATGGAAGCCTCTGCTGCTGTGCTAACTGTGGCTTAAGCAATGAGCTAGCAAATCTTATTTCACTCCAACCTAGTTTCACAAAAAAATAAAAAGGGGTAGTGGTGGTGGTAAAAATGTTGTATCTGTTTCAATTCTGATTTAAATGTTGTAAGTTGTTGTTGTTGGTGGCAAAAATTGAAAAGGCTGCTAAAAATTAAATCACTAAACCATGGTTTTGATACAGAGGTGTTATTGACATCAGGATCTCAGACTTTAGGTATTTTGAATTAGTTCTCAGATACTTTTGAGGTAGAACATCTTTCACTAAAGAAGTATGGATATATTTTTCTTTAAAAAAATGTATTTCTTAAATAAGTTATATTTTTAAATAAAAATATTTTTATTGAAATATACACAACTGGACCCTCCATGCTATTTTAAAAAGCTAACTAGAAAAAAAAAAAAAAAAAAAACCAAACAACCCCAAAACTGTTTACTTTAGAGAAGAGCCACAATACAAATCAGTTAAAAATTCTTTAACTATTACTTTGTTTTCTAGGGTCTTGCTGCATAGCAATAAATATACCAGGTCATTCTCTGGTGAGTGACAACAGACAAACTATACATTTTGTTATGATTCTGAGGCTATCTTTTTCTAATATAAAACTATTTTCAGGTCTTAGCTGTAATCAGTAAAACAAAATACGGCTGATGGTAAGTAAAAATTTTAGAAGTATGAAGTATTTAATAAATTTCAGTTTAGCAGTTCTTCTAAGGCCTAGTGACTGCACTAGTGGAATAAACTTTTCAGTTACAAACTGTGCTAACATCCTGAAACAACTCTTCACTGTCCAGTGACTCTCAGCAGTTCTAGATACTCTGTTTGCCTTTGCACAAGATTTTACCAAACAGTTTCTCATATTTTGTTTTCTTTCAGGACGTTTCACAGATGTTGTATGTCTCTTATTACCTTGAGTCCAGACACTCCAGTGTCGATGGACAAAAGAAAATCTAGTTTCAGCTAGGGGCTACTTTTGCAGTCACAAAGTGAACAAACATCGCATGATTTTACTTGCAGCGCTTTTGCAGTCCTACCCTGCGAGCTGACCCTGCATGTGGGAGGCCAAGAGCCAGGAAATTTATGATGTACAAGCAAGAGTGAAGGTCTTGCTGAAAGTGCCTTCTCCTGTTGAAGATTCAACCAGGTCGTCTTCATCTGGAGAATGCTGCATGGCCCCTAATGAGTTCAGGTGTCTATTCCCTTCATTCATTGTTTATTTTTTCAAAAAACATTGAGTGGTAACTTCTCTCTGTTCACATCAGGACAGCTGAGAGCTGCAGCCCTGTGGATAATTCTGATTTTGTCTGCATACCTCTTTTTTTCCACTATATTTGTAACTCTTGCCAGCTGAAGAATCATCTTCCTTACT